AACTAAAAGCAATGGATAGGCAGACCAGAAAAATAATGACAATGAATCACGCCCTTCATCCACGCAGTGACATTGATAGACTTTATCTACCAAGGCAAATAGGTGGGCGTGGAATGCTACAAGTACATCAGATGGTTGAAGAAGAAAAAATGGCTTTGGAAGAATATCTGAAGAACAATGATGAAGATGCACTGAAATTAGTATATCAGGAAGGCTTACTAACTACTGGAGAGACCAAACTGGCCTACAAGAAAGACCAAATGAAGAACAGAATAGAGGCATGGGAAGACAAAGCACTACATGGCCAATACATGAAAAAAATAGCTGGGAAAGCAGATAATAATAAAACCTGGCAATGGCTAAGAGCAGGAAAATTGAAGAAAGAGACCGAGGGACTAATTCTGGCTGCACAAGACCAAGCCTTAAGGACAAATGCATACAAAGTCAAAATTGAGAAGACAGCAACAGACAGTAAGTGCCGCCTATGCAAAGAAGCTGAAGAAACAGTGGACCACTTGGTAAGCTGTTGCAAGAAGATTGCACAAACTGATTACAAGCAGCGGCATGACAAAGTAGCAACAATGGTGCATTGGAAGATCTGCAAAAAATATCATTTGCCTGTAAGCAAAAACTGGTGGGATCATAAAATAGAGAAAGTCATAGAAAATGATAAAATTAAACTGCTCTGGGACTTCAGAATTCAAACAGACAAGCACCTGCAACATAACACCCCAGACTTAACAATTGTCGATAAGAAAGACAAAAAAGTCTGGATAGTGGACGTGGCAGTGCCTGGAGATAGCAGCAGAATAGACGAGAAAGAACTGGAGAAGATAACAAAATACAAAGACCTACAAATAGAAATAGAAAGACTGTGGCAAAAGCAAGCAAGGGTAGTACCAATAGTCATAGGCTCCTTGGGCGCAATCCCAAAACAACTGGAGCACCACTTGAACACCATTGGCATTGACAAATTTGCTATTAGTCAATTGCAAAAGGCGGCCTTATTAGGAACTGCTTCCATCCTGCGACGATATCTGTAATACCATCAAACATCCACATCTGCCTATCCCAGGTCCTGGGTAAGGACTCGATAGGTAGACAAAATGCCAAATCCAGTCTGAACATCTGGCTGACTGTGCGTGCGATGATTAATAATAATTGGCATTGACAAATTCGCTATTAGTCAATTGCAAAAGGCGGCCTTATTAGGAACTGCTTCCATCCTGCGACGATATCTGTAATACCATCAAACATCCACATCTGCCTATCCCAGGTCCTGGGTAAGGACTCGATAGGTAGACAAAATGCCAAATCCAGTCTGAACATCTGGCTGACTGTGCGATGATCGATAATAATAGAGTAACATCACTAGTTCACCTTCCCCTGACATAATTGGGTTTTGAGGGGCATTCAGAACCTCAAAAATGCTGAAGTCATTCTCACCTCAGGGATGGGGAAAAATCCACAGCGTAGGAATTTAACTGATTTTTTGTGGCTGATAGGGTAATACTGTATAATTTATTCAATAAACTTTAAATATACCGTATTTTTCCATGTACAAGATACTATTTTTTCCTGCAAACACCCTGTTCAAAAATCAGGTGCATCTTATACAAGTGCAGCATCTTATACACAAAAAAATAATGGTAACCTCTGCACCCCATAGCATGCCTGTGTGGGTTCTTTACATGCCGCTGCCATGCCACCTGGTGCAAGAGGATATCGCTGGCCTGAGATGCTGCATGGATGGGGAAAAAATGGCCTGAGATGCCACCTAGTGCTGGAGGATCGCACTGCCCCAAGGATGCCACTGGTCCCACTGAAGCCACCTTCTATGACCCATTTTTCACCAGCGCAGCTCAGGCTGAAGCCACAAAAAGGTCCCGGAAAACCGCCTTGTTACAATGATTGACGGCTGAGGGGGTGGGCGCCATCTGATTGGAGGAAGTCACCTCCCTTGTGTTATGGTACCGAGAAGTACCAGTAATTGAGGGGCATCTTATATAAGGATGCGTCTTATAGACGGAAAAATAAGGTACAAAAAAAGCAATCTTGTGTCTGTTTACATGGAAGTAAGTCCACTGTATTGAATGGGATTAACTCCCTAATGTTAAAGAGCACAGACTTGCATAATCAAAGCTTCACCTCTCCTATATCTTAGGAAAGTAGAAATGTGCATGATTTAAAATGTCAATTTAAAATCTCCCTAATGATCAATTATCCCTCTTTTCAGTTCTCATATTTAAATGAGGCTTGCAGTTTTACTCAGCAGTATCTCTGAGCACTTAGAACTTCTAAGTATTCCAATCTATTTTAGAACAGTGAAATGCAACTGGCAAATTTTCTGATGTAGAGGTACCATGAATGGAGCCGTATATTTCAAATGAACCAGTTTCTTGCTGATTAGCATGTTTAATGCATGGGATCCAGGAACACCTCCAGAGGCAAGGCAGGCACCTTGCTTCGTTTTGGCATTAGCATTTCAAAGAAGCGTGTTACTGAATCTGCTGGAAATACTGCAGAGAAAGAATAATGTCAGTCCAGGAATTCTTCTCTTCTTTGCTCAGCTCTTATTCTGTGAAGTTCCATAAAGGAACAGATGCTTTCATGAATGGTTTTGTTTGCTTAATTTAATTGCTATGAATGACATACGGTAGATACTTGTGATTATTTATTTGTTCAATTTAAAGAGCCACCAATCTCAAGTACATGACTTTGGTCGTCTCACACTAAAAACAAATGAATTATAAACAAATATTAAAATAAAACAAGAAATAAAGCACATAACAGACAGAGAATCATAAAAAGCCCTCAAAATAACCATAAAACAGGCTCCATTCCGTACCCAGAACTCAGTCACCAAACCAGATTTATTTAGAACATAGAATAATAGAATTGGACAGGACCTTGGAGGTTTCCTAGTCCAGCCCCCTGCTTGAGCAGGAGACCATATACCATTCCAGATAAATGATTGTCCAGTCTCTTTTTGAAAGCCTCCAGCAATAGAGCACCAACAACTTCTGAAGGCAAGTTGTTCATTGGTTGATTGTTCTCACCATTAGGAAATATCTCCTTAGTTCTAGGTTGCTTTTCTCCTTTGTTAGTTTCCATTCATTCTTTCTCATCTTGACTTTTGGTGCTTTGGAAAATAGTTTGACACTCCCTCCCTTGTCTTTGTAGGAACCCCTCAAACATTGAAACTGCTATCATGGTTCCCCTAGTCTTTCTTTTAGACTAGACATACCAAATTCCTGTAACCCCTAATTATTCTTGTTGCTCTTCTCTGCACTCTTACCAGAGTCTCAACATCTTTTTTTTCTATTGGAGTGACCAGAACTGGATGCAGTGTGGAATACCTGGAATACTTGAAATACAAAATATTTATTTTATATAGTGTAACAGAAGACAACATTAATGCATAAAAAGGTCCACTTTTTTCACACAACACACCCCCCAACCAGATCTTCAAAGTCTTAAAAAAGGCCAGCAAGGTGGGGCCAACTTAATGGGAGGGATGTTATTCCAGAAGGTGGATATCATGGCAAAATAGGTTCTTCTTTGGCATCCTACCAGCCAACCCTCCTTGTCTGATGATACTTGTAATATGCCTGTCTTGCTGATCAGACAGGACACATAAAAGCAACCAGGAAGAGACACTACCATAGGTAAACCATCCTCATGCATTTAAAAGTAACTATCAGCATTTTGAATTGCATCTGTAAGCAAACTGGTATATTCCGATTCCTCCCAAATTTGTCAATGCCAATGGTGTTCAAGTGGTGCTCCAGTTGTTTTGGGATTGCACCCAAGGAGCCTATTACTATTGGTACTACCCTTGCTTGCTTTTGCCACAGTCTTTCTATTTCTATTATTATTATTATTCATGGTTACTGTACAACTACTATATGTTTGTGAATTTTGGATGGGAGATAGGCCGAAACATTAATTACACTTAAGTTATTTCTGATTTCTCTAATTACTTTTGTAAGTGTAAATCTTCAGTGATGGATAGGTTCATACTGCCCATCAAATAGATCCCCTGTGCAATCTGGGCATCCTCTAAAGTCACCACCTTTGCTCAAGGAGCCACTGGCAGTTGTGGCTAGGAGGGCCTTTTCCTAGCTTTGTGCTGTGCGCCAGTTACACCCATTCCTGAAACCTGGAGGTTCTGCTCCCATGCCCTAGTCATCTCCAGACTGGACTGTACGTAGGGTTGCCCTTGAAGAGTGTTCAGAAGCTTTAGCTAACACAGAATGCCATAGGGTAGGCCATCTGTCGGAAATGGTGTAGGGTTTCCTGCCTGAGCAGGGGGTTGGACTCAATGACCTCCAAGGTCCCTTCCAACTTTATTATTATCATTATTATTATTATTATCATTGATCATCGCACAGTCAGCCAGATGTTCAGACTGGATTTGGCATTTTGTCTACCTATCGAGTCCTTACCCAGGACCTGGGATAGGCAGATGTGGATGTTTGATGGTATTACAGGTATCATCGCAGGATGGAAGCAGTTCCTAGTAAGGCCGCCTTTTGCAATTGACTAATAGCAAATTTGTCAATGCCAATGGTGTTCAAGTGGTGCTCCAGTTGTTTTGGGATTGCACCCAAGGAGCCTATTACTATTGGTACTACCCTTGCTTGCTTTTGCCACAGTCTTTCTATTTCTATTATTATTATTATTATTATTATTATTATTATTATTATTATTATTAAGTTGTGTGTGTGCTCCTAGGCCAGCATATATTAAACTTCTGCTCTGTGAGGTGCTTTGTCTGCCGGTTTGCTTCTGAGTCTAATTCAAGATGCTGGTTTCAACCTTTAATCTTTCATGTATTTTATTATTATTATATGTATTCCATTATATATTAGTCATTGCAGTATGTATTTTATGTAGATGTCATTGTTTGATAAATATTTTAACAGCAATTTTCTATAGAATAGAGTTTAACATAGAGATAGAAGTAGATATTTATCCAACACTTTATTCTCATTTAGTTGACTCTGAAGCCAGAGCAGGTTGTCCTTCCTTTGGTTGACGAAAATGTCCAACACCAAACTACCAAAGGGATTATATACCAATATCCAGAGACAATTGCAAATATTGAGTTGGTAATGCAAGAACTACATTCAGAACCATTTTATTGGAGACTTCCAGAACAATTCGAAGGAAAGAAGGTAAAGAATGGGAATTCTAATTACAGTTTATATTTTGTCATTTCTTTTCTTTTTTCCCCAACAAAGATTAGAAAGAACTTGAAAGTACTAATGAAAAGTTATCGTTTTATTGTCACAATCATAACTATTAATTCTCTCTTTCTTATTATTGTCCATTAAAAGAGAAACCAGATAATGAAATATTATTCATTTTATTATTATCAAGTTAATTAACAGAATTAAAAGAATTAAAAATATAGTGTAACCTCATAATTAATAATCATGGTAATAAGGGTAAAGAGAAAAGGAAAATGAAAAGGAGTTTTGGAGCATCATATTAAAAATAGATTATCTCCCCCCCTAAATAATCTTATTGCTTAAAGGCTTTTCCTTGCTCTTTGTCAGGAAGAAAACCCTGCTAAAACCTAATTCAAATATTGACATGTCTGCAATCCACTTCTTAAAATCATACATAGCTTTGTTTTTCTAATATTTTATAATAATTCTTCCAGCCAGTCTCCCTATTTGAAAACAAAACTAAAGAATGAATTATGTTAGAGACCTTCATTGGAAAGTATGACTTTGGGGCAGGTCCGAATTTTTTAGCCCATGACTCTGTAATATCCTTCTTCTATATACTTATGTTACCTGATATCTAAAAGAAAGTTATATGGAACAAACTTTTAATTTTAGAATATAAATGTTTCATGTACACTCAAAAAGTTAAAATCATGAGGGGAACCATATTTGTTTCAAAGCTTCATTTAATACTTGAATAATTCCCTTTAACTATCATGCTGAATAGAATCACTCTGAAACTGAGGAAGTAGTATTTTGATAGGGGGAGGAAGAGGTATAATAGTATAATAATCCAAGTGCTTGTGTCACTTGACCTGTATTTGTTGTGATTATCCAGTCCCAAACTCCGTTACCTTTTAGTTGATCTAGCCTTATCAGCTATACAGAGAAACGAAATAATACCCTTAAGAAAACGTAAAAGTTCCAGAAAGATATGCACAAGAGTACTGAGATTCCCATAATGGATAAATGGTTTGTAAAAGTGTCAGAATTGGTAGAAACGGTAAAATTTATGGATTTTTTGCTAAAAGAAGAAAAAAGTGAAATTATAAATTTATGAATTTAATGATTGAAAAGATGAAAATTGGAAAGTTGTATGTATTTCATAATGTTGGTTTCTATTTTCCTTTTTTTCACATCTTTTCCTTTTTTTGTTTTTTCCTTTAGATTTGACTTTCATTGTACATAAAATTCATAATAAGTATAAATTTAAAACATATAGCATAAAAGTTCCCACATGATCCATTTTCTACTCTACAGTAGCTTATACTAGCTGCAGGAAATATTCCAAACTGAAAAAATATTCAATATTTTAGATATGCACAGGAAAAATATGATGGCTTGTTTTTTTTTTATTTAAATAGACGTGGGAAACAAACTCCAAAGTCTTATTTTATTTCGTTATATAGGTCTCGTATTTATATCTGATACAATGAAAATCACAACTTTAATCATTCATTTTATGCTAACTGAAAATCTTCAGAGCATCTCCAGATATTTACTATAGTATTGGTTATTTCTTTGTATTTCATTTTGATTGCCTGTATATTATTATTTATATGATTTCTTCTTCTTTGTTAGCTGATGGCTTATGGAGGAAAGCTGAAATATGCTATCTTTTTTGAAGCAAGGGAAGACACGGGTTTTGCAACTTACAATCCCCAGGTCATAATCAGAGGTGGGCTTCCCACACATACACGAATTATTGTCAGACATGTGGTCGCTCCTCTGAATGGCCAGTTGACAAGGCATGAGATAGAAATGACAGAGGTAATTTTTCATTCCACTTTGTTTTGTCATCGGCACTTTGGAAACAGTTAAATCATTAGCATTCCTGTTATTACTTCCTTTTCAGCATGAGTGGAAATACTATGGCGATAGTCCAAGGATCACACAGACTGTGACCCGTGAGGATTTCATGGATGTCCTGTACAACATTCATTACATACTTATTAAGGCAACTCATGGAAGATTCATGAGACAAAGCAGGTAAGCATTTCATATAATGCCATCAGTAATACTGAACACTAGTACCAATCATCAGAGATTGATTCATTTTCATAGGAAAGTCATAAGGTACTTTTCCACACTGTGTTATTTACATTGAGATCCATGGGCTTAAACTTGCCAGTCTATGTAAGATTCCAGCTTTCTCTAGCAATGGTAAAAGGAAAATAATAATCTTGTCAGAAGGTGGAAATTCCCATATGGCTCAAAACCTAGAAATTATTCTAAAAATTGAGCTTCGATTAATAATGATCAAATCACACCAGCAAAGTCCTAGCAGCCAAGCTAGCTTATCAGTTCAAAGCACCTTGTCTTAACTATGAAGCTTCTGTCTTCTACTGTCTTAAATTGTGACTCATGTACTTGCCATGAATTTTGCACCTCCTTCTTGCTTTTTTGCCTTGGAAGTTAGCCTGCACTTCTTCTGTTCCCTTAAACCTGTTCTGATAGTATCCAGCTGTCCAAGAACTAATTGGTTTGATTCAGTATTCACCTGTCTCATATTATTGCCTGCCCAAAGTCTGACATGTACTTTTGAGTAAAATCTCTGAATAGCATCATATTTATTTCTAAGTGAAGATACTTAATGTCAGAGCATGCACAGTCTTATTGCATGAGATAACCCAGGAGTAAACACAGTAAACAATGGTCTATATTAAATGGTGGTTTCTCTTACACTATCTATAATATCATACACCAGGAACAATATACATACACGTGCTAATACAGCAGGATCCAACACCCCATAGTTACAGCAGAAAACGGAAGAGAGAGAACACATTAGCGGAGCCTTCCCTTTATACCAGTGGTTCTCAACCTTTTTAATGCCGTGACCCCAACCAGTCGTAAGTTGAGGACTAAATCGGTCATAAGTCGAGGACTAAATTGGTCGTAAGTTGAGGACTTTCCCTGCCCGGGAGCACCGCGCATGCATGGTGCCGCCCCCTGCGCCGGCCGAGATGTAGCTGGCAAGCGGCAGAGACGGAGCAGGCCAACCACCGGCTGGGCCACCAGCTGGCCCAGCCCAAGGGAGGTAAGGCACCTGCCGGAAAAGGGGGAAAAATGGTGGACAGCCTTGCTTGGCGACCTCCATGAAATGGTCGATCGACCCCAAATGGGGTCGCGACCCATAGGTTGAGAACCACTGTTTTATATAAAGGCTCTTAAAGCCTTAAATCTTACATTACATAAGCTGGTTAGCTGTTAAATCAATACCTTGATGACATTTAAGTTTATTTACATATTCTAGAATGAAAAAAGTCCCAAGCACCTCTCCACCAGCAATCAGCACCCTGATTAGCATAGATTAGCTCCAGGATTAACACCAGACCAACAAACAAGTAAACAATACCCCAATCAAGAAACTGCCAAAGAAACCAAAAGCAAACAGCCCAACCAAGGAATCACTCTAAGACTGCCCTTATCAACACTGACAGGGATGCCACTGAATGTAAACTGTCAGCAAACCACACTCCTTACTAACAATAACGACGTTACCTAGTTTGGGTAATGAAACTTCTGCAAGAAAACAAGCAGGTTCAGAGCACCAGGGGCCCCTCATTTCAACCCTGAGCTACAAATATTATCCTTTATTGAAAAAAGTTTGTCTTCTTCATAATTTCAATGTTAGTCATGAGTGAGTTCTTTCAATCAATCATTGATTCTTTCATTCATTTTTATAGATGACAATCACACAATTTTAACAGTTCATGGAAGATGATTAATAATGTTCCATGGCTCTACTGTTGGATAGATCACTTGCTGGCTATTAGTTATTTGTCATCTATTGATCATAGGAACCAAGTCAATGAACAATAGCAGTGAAAGCTTCTGTAGGTTTATTTGAGTTTCCTATTTTTATAGATGATGGATACTCATGTGTACTTGTGAACTCATTTTCTTTTTAAAAACATAAATCTTCTTTGGTCATTCATATTTTCTGCTGGCAAAATCTAGTATGGATAGCCTATGTACCATATTGGCATTAAGTATATCTTATTTCATCCATACTTTCTGGGCTGATTTAGGAAGAGCCATATTCAAGTGTAATGGAAAACCCATCTAATCTAGCATTCTTATAACATTTTTACAGGAAACTAAATGTCAATGAGAAGCCAAATAGTATCTCATGAGTATAACAGCATTCTTCTGCTATTATCTCCAAGCAACTGGAATTTTCTATGACAGAGGGCCGTTGTAACTGATAATCTTAGTAGCACTATCTTCTACAAATGTATCTAATTCTTTTTTTTTATTATTGTAAATATTTATTAAGTTTTAAAATTTTACAAAAAAAAAACAAAACAACCCATCCCCAAACCTCCCCAACCCTCCCATTCCCTCCCCCGACCTTCCCAGAGCTGAACATAGGCTTAATTAAAATTTCTTCAAATAATGTAAAAGAAAATATAAACCATAAATTAATCTAAATACTAAATACATTAATTAAACAAGTTATAAGATAATTAACAATAATATGTATATAAAAAACATAACTACCAAAAGAATAATACTTGAAAGAAAAAAGAATAAAGAAAGAGAAAAAAAGAAAAAAAGAAAAGAAAGTATAATAAAAATAAAAAATAAAAATAAAAAAGAATAAAATCTAAAAAATATTTTAAATTTTAAATATAAGTTATTGAAAAGCTAAATAATATTTTTTAACATCCAACTTATGTTGTATAAAATCTATCCATTTTTTCCATACCGCAAAATACTTCTCTTGCGATTGATCCTTCAAGAAAGCCGAAATCTTTGCCATTTCCGCCAAATAAGAAACTTTAAAAAACCACTCTTGCAAAGTAGGCAGAGATTCCTTCTTCCAACATTGCCCTACTAGCAGCCTTGCGGCTGTAATTAAATTTAACATCAATGCAGTCTCTTTAATATCATAGTCGGTAACAATACCTAATAAAAACAATTGTGGGGTAAATTTTACCCTCCTTCTGAAAATTCTTTGAATATTCCACCATATCTTAATCCAAAAGGCTTTTATATTTTTACATGACCACCAAATATGATAGTAAGTAGCATCCAAACAACCACATCTCCAACATTTAGGCTATAAGTCAGGATACATACGAGACATTTTTTGTGGATCAAGGTGCCATCTGTAAAACATTTTATAAAAATTCTCCCTTAAATTCTGGGCTTGTGTAAATTTGACATTCCTCACCCAAATAATTTCCCAGGTATCTAGTAGAACTGGTTCACCAAAATTTTGTGCCCGTTTGACCATACATTCTTTAATTAATTCTGCCTCTGAATCCAATTCTACTAGCACCCCATAAATTCTCTTCATATGAGTTCGTCTTTGATCTTTTACTTGTTTAAGAAAGTTTTCATCTTCTCTAAGTAAACCCACATTACAATTTAACTTCCATCTATCCACTATTTGTCTATACTGAAACCATGAATATGTAATATTTTCTTGTGCTAGGTTTTCCAAAGATTTTAACTGCCAGTTTTTACCATCCCATCTAAGTAATTGTGCATAAGAAACACCATCCATTTTAACTCCTCTCCTTATCCCCTCTATCGCATGCCAGGGTACAGCCCATAATGGGATTTTAAAATCACTTCTGTAATATTTCCTCCAAACCCGAAATAGGGAAATCCTTATAATATGAGATTTAAAAACCCTATCAACTTTTTTATTAAAAATTAAATAGGCATGCCATCCAAAAAGTAAATCCCAACCCTCCAAGAGGAGTATTTCTACATTTGTTAAATTAACCCAATCACTAATTAATGTTAAAACCACCGCATCATAGTACAATTTCAAATTCAGTACCTTAAGTCCACCTCTCTCACGGATGTCTTGTATTATTTTAAGCTTTACTCTTGGTTTTTTCCCCACCCAAATAAACTTATTGATACCTTTCTGCCATTCATTTAAATTAATCTCATTCTTTAAAATAGGTATCATTTGAAACAGAAAAAGAAACTTTGGCAAAACATTCATTTTAATCACCGCAATTCTTCCCAAAAGGGATAATTGCAATTTCTCCCAATTTTTCAAGTCTCTTTGTATCCTGACCCATAACCTTTCATAATTATTTTTGTACAATTTTGCATTAGAAACAGATAAAATAACCCCCAAATATTTTACCTTATCAATAACCTCAAAATCTGTCAACTTAACCAAAGTCTGCTTATCCAAAATGGTCATATTTTTAAATAATATTTTAGTCTTATTGTTATTAATTTTAAAACCTGAAACCCGTCCATATTGGTATATCAATTGTAATAACTCTACTACATAATAAGTAGGTTGGGACAGGGTGACCACCAAGTCATCTGCAAAAGCTCTTAATTTATATTCTTTTTTATTAACTTCTATTCCTTTTATTTCCTGTGATTCTCGAATTTTAATCAACAATATTTCCAAAGTTAAAACAAATAGCAGTGGTGACAATGGACATCCATGTCTAGTCCCCTTTTCTATTGTAAAGACCTCTGATAAACCCCCATTAACAATAAGTTGTGCCGTTTGTTTTTGATAAATAAGACCAAGAGCTCGTAAAAATTTTTCTCCAAAATTCATTTTCTCAATTAAACTTAACATAAATTGCCAATTCAGTTGATCAAAAGCTTTTTCAGCATCTAAAAATATCAATCCTGCAGGAACTTAATTATTTTTGTCTAAATATTCTAATAAATTAATAATTTGTCTGACATTATTCTTCATGTACCTTCCAGTTATAAAACCCGTTTGATCCTTATGTATAACCTGATGCAAAACCCTCATAAGCCTGTTAGCCAAAATTTTTGCAAAAATCTTATAATCTACATTTAAAAGAGATATAGGTCTGTAATTCTTTGGTAAAGTGAGATCTTGATCTTCTTTTGGAATTAAAGATATAAAAGCTCTACCCCATGACGGGGGAATCTCTAAACCCTGTAATATATTATTAAAAAGCTCTCTTAAAGGTTGAATCATCTCTTGTACCAAAGTTTTATAATAAATAGATGTCAAACCA